AGATGATGAAATAATCAATTAAATGTTCTACTTCCCTATTTGTAAGCATTACATGTATGTGTCCAGTGGTAAGGAGCCTATCAGAATAGCATAAAGAATAATGTACAAATGTTAATAATTGATTTATCATATATTTTTTTATTTCCTTCTCCTTGGGACTTTTTTATTCTCATGTTCATAACTTAACTTAAACATAAAAAATGCTGGCCTTATAATGAAGAAAGGGGCCTCTTTCAAAATAGATAATTTCAGGGCCGCTGGGTCAGGGGTACCAGGGGGGTACTTTGACTAAAAATAAATTAATGCTTTGAAATCTGCCCTTTGATAAGCACTGGTGCCTCCTTCAAAATTTGTGAATTTCATGGCTTTTGGATTAAAACACAAACCAAATACAATCGCTGGAATGTTGTTACATGATACTCAGGTGACCTAAAAGGGGCCCCGTGGCCTTGTATACGGTATAAACTGGGTTGGGGCAGTTTACGCTTTATAAACCACGAAGCGGTTTATAAAAAAGCGTAAACTGTTCCAATCCAGTTTATACCGTATAAAATGGGTAGATATTAAATTCATTGCTTATAATTTAATTTCCATTCATTTGATGTAAGAAAAAAAGATGATTTTTCTAACAAAATGACTTCAATTTGTACAAAATTTGAATGTAACGTCAGGCGGATTGATACGTTTTTGACGCAAGTCATTGTGACGTAGGCAACCAATTTTATACGATATAAAGAAAATTTTTTATCCAATCAAATACAGCGTGACAACCAGAATTAAATTATTTCAGTTTCAATAGACAGGTAAAAATTAAGAAAACCATGAATCTTGCTTGAGAAAAAAGACAGGGATAATTTTCCAACGCTGATGTTAAGTTTATTCTGCGTTGTCACCATAATCAGAACTACATGTAGTCTATGTCTGAACTCGCACTTTACTTACAATTTACAATGTTCTTTATAAAATGTAATTAAATAGATAACGGCAAAATATAGACATATAAATGTACTATTAATAATTAAAAGTGCTTAACGGTTATGTTTTTAATATCATTGAAAAACACAGGACTATCTCGGTAACGTCATGATGTTAAAAAAAACAGTAATTAACACTTTACGAATTGACCAATTACCCTGTAATCTCAATCTGAAGAGCTATAATTACCTCCAAATATTCTTAACTATATGTATTTTAAAAAAAACAGAACAAAAAAAAAAAATTAAATAAATTTTAAAAAAAGGAAACTGCGCACAAATTTACAAATATTTTATTTTTTCCGACTAACCGATTACGGATTTTCTAACCGATTAGCATCGTTCCGACCGATTAATCAATTAACCGGTTAACCGGTAAATCAGTTAAATTTCAAATTGCCATCCCCTGTTTTATCAAACTACGTATTTTTAAGTGCAATGGGTTTACATAACAACAACAAACGATTGCAATACTGTATTATTTCCTAGAAAATAAATAATTTTTACATTAGGAAATAATTTTCTCGCCATGCTTTATTTTTCTCTTAACATGCGACGTTGTTTTACTTGGAAAAAAAGGGGAAAAAGGGAGGGAGGAGGGGGAGTAAAGGCGAAAAAATTACGATTTTTACTAATATCATGTAATATATAGAAAAATAAAATATTTAAGGGGTTGCATTTAAATGATTCATAACTATTTTATTTTTTAAACTGAAGATATTCCATGCATATTTAAGTCCGCAATAAAAAGAGTGTGTTTAAACACTTCAACATGTTCAAGGAGAAAGACTAAAATCGTTTACTTCTGGTTGCAGTGTTTGCTTTTTAAAGTCACAAATTGAAGTAAAACAAGATAAAATTAATGAAATTGTATCAAAAAAATGATCTCTCAAAATTGATTGGTTTCAAAATTGTTTTGGAAATACTTACATATTATATATACTAGTACCAATCCGGTAAATGTTCCATTCACAAACAATAATTAACAAGTGGTGCGTTAGCAATTCTGTCTAGTGTATATACAAGATATTCCACACTCAGTCGTTCCACTTTTTTGTTTAATCATGTATTTGTCATCTCTAACGGAGTCTTATACTTAATGTCTCGGAAAATTTCAAAGCTGACAATAGAGGAGTTAGACAATCCTTACGAAACGTTTTTAATTGTGAGCACTGAATGTAATAGTATAGTGGGTGATATCTATGCAATTTTTAGATTCTTAAAGAGACTGCGGAAAGTCAGTTCAATTTCATATACATAATCGGTTTCAAGGCAAGGCTTTTATTATATTTTTTTTCTCTTGTTTAGAAATGAAAAATATCCTATATACATTTCAGAACTTCCAAAGGTAAAATTAGAAGAAAATATTGTACAGGATGGCGAAAGATTGCGCTTTACTGCACACATATTTTCAAAAGAGGACCCAAAGTCCCTAAAATGGCTTAAAGACGGAAAAGAACTGGAATATGCAAATGATGGAAAGTTTGAAAGAAAAGACAGTTACAAGAAAATGTCCATTTTATATATTAATAATCTGGGAAAAGAAGACGAAGGTGAATACACTGCTCTTGTAACAACAAGCATTGGTGCTCATGTCAGAGAAAGTATTTCATTCAAACTCCCCGAAGGTAATGAAAAATATCCTATCTTTAACTGATTTTGGTTATGTATTTTCTCATTATGTTCGACAGTACCTGAAGTGTATTAATTCTTCAGAATTATAACAAATGAAAATCTGTAGTGTACAGTACCATTATTTGTGTTAAGATTATTTATGGAGATCATTTGTATAAACGAGACATTCTTAAATATGTTGTAACATGTTTTCTATCTTTTTTTATTTTATAAAAAAGATCCTCCTAAGGTTGAACTAAAGATGGAAAAATACCTGACATCCGTTACGTTTAGAGCAGAAGTTATTTCAAAGTGGCCTGTCCAAAAATGGGTTTGGTATAAGGACGGGAACATCATAAAGGAGAGAAATTACAAATTTCAGGAAGACACATGTACATCTAGCGTTCGACGGCGTAATCTAATGATTACGGACTTAGAAGAAAGCGATTATGGATTTTATAGCCTAATGGTCATAACAATTGGAGGAAGAAATGAAAGTACTAGACAATTACTAAAGGAGGGTACGTTTGATTACGCTTTAAAATAAGAATTTCAAATCATATTTATTCGTTCATAAGCTTTGTCAAAAATTAACATCATGTTTCTATTTGACCACCTTTTGCTGGTGGTGCCAAATTGCAATCGCTGAGACAGATTTTATTTTATATTATTTTTTTTTTATTTTGTTTGTACATATAATCATACAGAAGTTTGTTCATACACAATGTACTTGTGAAAGTTTCAATTAAAATGTTCAAAGAAGTGTTTATTTTTTAGGCAGGTATTTTATTTTCCTTTTAAAGCTTCATTTTAACATTGAATAGTAATAATCAAAATAATTTTTTGAGAAACGAAATAAAAATTATTTTTTTACAGATTTTTTTGCACAATTACCCGATTCTACGCAAATATTTCGTCAAAATGAATCATTGGATTTATTGCAAAATATATTAATAAACCATAATTATGTTATTTCTGACGCAATTCATTCTATATTGGGATAATTTTAAAATGGATGAATCCGACTATCTTTTGATTATCTTTTATTTAATATGTTGCAGATGCTCCGGAAGTTAAACTTGAGCTAAAAATAATTGAAAAGAGAAAAAGGTGAGAATTTTTCAAGGGGTAACCCCAAAGAGCTTGCACTTAACCTGAAATGGTTTCACAACAGCCATGAAATTGTCTTCCAAAATCAGACCAAATATACAGAAACAACTGGCGTCAACAATGTCTTTATTTTGGGAGTCCATGATGTTAATCGTGAAGATGAGGGAAACTTCAGTGTTCGCATGAGTAACAGATCAGGGAAGACCACTTGTAAATCGGTGTTGTTTCATATAACTGAAGGTACATCTATACTCTATTTTCTCTTCCTTTCTATTTTTCGAATGTTATTTCTAATCTTGTGTAAAATTTCCCCAGTCTCTTACCTTTAATGTCTTATTTTGCTTTCCTTTCGGTCTTTTCTATTGCAATTCGGTTTTCAAATTATCTAACTTAACTTTTCTGTTGTAATTAATTTTTGTATGATTGATATGTAAATGTGAATATTTTCTCAGATTTGCCGAGTGTATTGTTATTATTCTCAAAGAAGGGGGAAATAGTAGAGCTTATTGCTGAAGTTAGGTCTACATGGCCCATAAAAGTATTTCTACTGGACAAAAGACGGAAAATCAATTCCACTTGATAATAGCAATTGTGTGTACAAGTTTGACAGTTTTAAACCTAATACTTACAATCTGAAGATTAAAAATCCAAGACAAGAAGATGAAGGTGAATATAAGTTGGTTGTTGAAAGTGTAGCAGGAAGGAGTGAAAGCAATGGACTTTTTATCAGAAATTTTTTAGGTGAGCCATTCGTTTAAGTTGTATTTAGAGCAATAGTTGTGATTCCTCTGTACTTTGATACTTAACCTTGTCCACATGATATTGAAGATATTAAACTAAGAAATAATAATCACACTCTATTTAACATAATGTTTCTTATATTTGATGTGAACTAAAGAAGATTTTTTAGTATATTTTAAAGATAAATAAATAAAAAAATAAGACCGTCTAGAATTGTTGAGATGGCATACATGTACATTCAGAAAAGTGTTAACATTAAAGCCCAAAAAATGTTGAAAAAAGAGGACCTTCTCAAAAAAACATCAATCCTGATTGAAAATTATAGTAACACTGAAAGAACGTGGGCGCTTTTGATGGGCATTTGGCAGGAATCTGGGCGTCTTAAAAAGTGAAAATTTTATCGACATGTCACATGAAAATTTAACATTTTTTTATTCATGGGTTCTGTGCAACAGGAAAGGAAAATATTTTCCTGAAATTGAGCTCTGGTTAGCTAAAAATTAAGTTTAAAATTGGCCAGATCAGATATTTGGTACAAAAAGGTACATTTTTAGACACGTTTTTCATAAAATTTTCTATCTCTGGGTCTTCTCTCCATGATTTTGAAATGTTATTCGTGTGTATTTAAATTCAAAGAAATGAATACACTT